CCGCCCTGACCTCACACCCTACCTGGCTCTCCTGCACTCCCTTGGGCCTCCAGCCACACTGGTCTTTTGATATTTCTGAAGCATCCCAGGCACTCTCCTGACTTAATACCTTCGCAACAGCTGCTGCCTCTGCCCAGGACTCTCTCCCATTAAATACTTGCTACCTCAGTCCCCTTGGGGGGTACTTAAATGACCCCATTTCTTAAATGACCCCTCTCTCCCACGCCTATGTCCCTATTTTATTTATTTTGCCCATGTCACTTGTCAGCACTGAAGAATCTATACATTCCACATATTTGTTCTGTTTATTGTCTGCCTCTCAGTCAAACCAAGACCCTGAGAGCTGCTCCTCATCACCGTGTCGTTGAGAACAGGCTGTGTCACACGGAAGGAGCTCAGCATGTCCCAGAGGGAGGCACAGGTGCCTCCGCAGGCCCTGTGGGGCAGCATGAGATGGTCACCCAATCAGGCGCCCTGAGAAGGGTTGGCCCCGCTCACCAGCCTCCCAAAAGCCGAAAAGTGCCATACATCTCTGCCCTGTTCTCTCTCTAATCACAAGGCTCTGCCAGAGTTCACAGTCCACAGCAACAGTGGGAGGGAGGATGAGGTGAGTTTTCAAAAGTACAGGCATAGTGGCATCAAATTAAATGAAAGTTAGTAAAATAAGACAAGAATCTGTGTTTCCTACGTTAATTCACAGCCTCTGCTGCAGATCAGAAGGCGCTGAGGCAATATCAGTGCCAGACCCTCGTGGCTCTGCCATTCATTCAAACGACTATTACCCCTTGTTGAGATCATGGCTCCCTCCCACTGTTGCTGTGGACTGTGAACTCTGGCAGAGACTTGTGGTTAGAGAGAGAACACGGCAAAGACGTATGGCATCTTTCGGCTTTTGGGAGGCTGGTGAGCAGGGCCAGAGGGACTCCTACAGCCACTGACACCATGGATGGCTTCGGGCTGTTGCTGAAGTGTGGTGTTTCTGCAAGCACTCTATGGCGTTTGTTTAACGTTAATTTACTAAGTTCTGTGAGTGTACTGACGCAGACTCTCCTGACACAGCTCTCCTCCCAGATCATTATCTGGGTCCACCTGTAGGGGCAGGGGGCAGAGAAAAGCACAGCAGCTTAGAGGGAATAAAGCTTTGCCAGAACTGCAGAACAGAAATCACACATACCAGCTGGGCCCTAGTTGAGTGTTTGGAGAAAGACAGAAATGAATTAGAACGGAGAGAATCCAGCAGTGGAAAATGTCCCCTTAGAACTCTGGAAGGCTTCCTCACTTTTCAAGGGTTTTACAAGAATACACCTTTCTTGGTCCTTGTTCCATTCTGAGGAATGTTAACACCAAGCTTCATCGACTAAGGACAAGCCCAGAAATGGAGCTAATATAAAACTACATGTGGCCACAGAAAACTCGGCACAGAGATAAAAACCCACATTCCCAGGCCTCACATATGAATAAAACCACTAGCTCACACTCCCAGTAACCACACACCTTCAGGAACCCTCTCACCTTGCAGAATAGCATCAGGAATATTATCCAGGGAAACCCATACTCTTAAAAAACAAAATGCGTAGAATAGTGCACTTTTCTTGGGAGCTAACCTTTTGAATTAAAGCTGTTTGATAACTAAGGAAGTGGTAAAACCTTAGAAGAAAATTGTTATCTATAATGGTAGGGAAGTCAATGAATGAATTTTTGGTATTCTATATCATTTTTAAGAGAATGTTTACATGCTGAGCTTCATCACTGACCTCTGTCTCCCTCTGCACCGGTGCTGGCCTCGGCCATCTCTGTGCTGCCCAGGTCAGGATCACGGCCTATGTCCAGTGTGCCGCCAGCTGGGCATGATTCCTCTTTCTGAATTTTAAAAAAACGATGATTTGTGGATACGTATTAGCAACTGAAAACATTTGAAGTCTTTCAGTCTTAAAAGTATTTAATCACAGTTAACTTGTGATTTGCAATTTCAACACTGATCTACGTTTTAGTGTAAAATCACTCCTTAAAAAAAAAACAACTGGGAAAAGCACATTGCCACAGCTCATTTTTTGGATTAATTTTCTAAAATTAATGCAACAAAGTTTCCTTTTGACATATGCAGCATCCATTTTTTTCAATTCTAATTCTTCCTGACCTTAGGAAATGGCTTAACAACTCAGAATTTCCACCAGTAAATTAAACACCCAAGGATCCACAAAAAGCGACTGGAATGCAAATCTCTTTGATTTGCTGTCATTTCTGATACACACGGTGACAAAAGCTTGATGCTTAATAGGTGAGAAGGAACCCCTGCTTCACTGCCAGGTATAGGTTTTGGCATTACAAAGAAAAAAATTCTTCTTGAAAGAAATTAATGAACTTTAAATGTTATCCATCACTTATTAAAACAGTGACTTCTTTTTAATTTATGGGAATTAATACAGTGATTTTACTTGTTTCAGTTATACAATTATTTGTAGACCAGCTTTCATCCTCTGGAATATTTTTCCCATTCTACATGGGAATAGGAATTACACTAAAATAAGTAAGACTCAGTGATCCGAAGCCTTTTATTTTCTCTGTTCTCATATAGTAAGTATACACTACTAGTAAAACTTCCTTAAAACCACTGTTTGCTTTCAAATTGAGTAACTGATTTAAATCAGCACATTTTCCAGGAGAATGGATAACTTTCTTATTTCCCTAAAAGACAGAAAGGCACACAGGTGTGAAGCCTGAACATCACCTGTTGGTCATCAAGCCGAGCTGCCCAGGGCAACAGCACCCACCCTGAGCTGGGATGCAGTCCTTGGCCCTCCTGCAGGCGCACTGTCAAGTATCGGGAATTTTGAGGAAGCCACAACTATTTTCCATTACCATATGTTAGAGTAAAACCACAGATATGCTTTCCTTGAAGAAAAATGTCATTGTTTATTCTTAATGTGAAATCATTTTTAAGACGTCTGAAAACATTTAAAAGGCATAGCGGTCATTCTTCCATCTCACACCCAAATCTGATTTTGTTTACCTTCACGTGTCTGAAAAACACGCATGACACGTAGTGATCACAGGCACCACGCGCAGGACTGTCCCACTTACTTTGAGAGCGTAGAGGCCCGACTTCCCAGGGATCTTGAAGAACGTCCCATCCCCTACTCGCGTGTTAGTGTGAAGCATCGCGTTCAGACAGGCTAACGGGGAAGTTCCACTGGAAAATCAAAGTGTGCAAACATGAAGCAGCCTGAGAGTTTCTGTGGCAAAACTGTTCTCAGTCACTTAAATAAAAAAAAAAAAAAAAGACCCTCTCACAAGCCTTTGTAAAGTATCCTCCCAGCCTGAAAACATCTACATTACAATAGCAGGCCCCTCCAGTTTCACCAAAGTTAATCAGATGCATCTGTCTTACAGGCTTCAGGCAAAAGTCTTCAGAATTGAAATTATGCTTTTATTCATAAAGCAACCAACACTATATCTCAAAGAAACCAGAGCCCAGAGATTTATGTGCATTTCCATATTAGGAATAACATGGTGTTATTTTACAAATAATACCATGAAACCTCAGTTTTTAAATATTACAGACAACTTGGTGGTTGCACTTGAATGATCAAATAAACCAAGTTCAAGGACAGTGCCATCCCATAGGTTGAAAAGTAACAAAAGAGTAAGAAACGAGGAAAGAACTGATTTGAAATTACAAGTATTTATGTTACTCGTGGGATTGCATTTCTTACAAGGCCAAATAAAAATCTGTATCTGTTTATATTTCCTGATACAGACCGAAAAGTGCCATACATCTCTGCCCTGTTCTCTCTCTAATCACAAGGCTCTGCCAGAGTTCACAGTCCACAGCAACAGTGGGAGGGAGGATGAGGTGAGTTTTCAAAAGTACAGGCATAGTGGCATCAAATTAAATGAAAGTTAGTAAAATAAGACAAGAATCTGTGTTTCCTACGTTAATTCACAGCCTCTGCTGCAGATCAGAAGGCGCTGAGGCAATATCAGTGCCAGACCCTCGTGGCTCTGCCATTCATTCAAACGACTATTACCCCTTGTTGAGATCATGGCTCCCTCCCACTGTTGCTGTGGACTGTGAACTCTGGCAGAGACTTGTGGTTAGAGAGAGAACACGGCAAAGACGTATGGCATCTTTCGGCTTTTGGGAGGCTGGTGAGCAGGGCCAGAGGGACTCCTACAGCCACTGACACCATGGATGGCTTCGGGCTGTTGCTGAAGTGTGGTGTTTCTGCAAGCACTCTATGGCGTTTGTTTAACGTTAATTTACTAAGTTCTGTGAGTGTACTGACGCAGACTCTCCTGACACAGCTCTCCTCCCAGATCATTATCTGGGTCCACCTGTAGGGGCAGGGGGCAGAGAAAAGCACAGCAGCTTAGAGGGAATAAAGCTTTGCCAGAACTGCAGAACAGAAATCACACATACCAGCTGGGCCCTAGTTGAGTGTTTGGAGAAAGACAGAAATGAATTAGAACGGAGAGAATCCAGCAGTGGAAAATGTCCCCTTAGAACTCTGGAAGGCTTCCTCACTTTTCAAGGGTTTTACAAGAATACACCTTTCTTGGTCCTTGTTCCATTCTGAGGAATGTTAACACCAAGCTTCATCGACTAAGGACAAGCCCAGAAATGGAGCTAATATAAAACTACATGTGGCCACAGAAAACTCGGCACAGAGATAAAAACCCACATTCCCAGGCCTCACATATGAATAAAACCACTAGCTCACACTCCCAGTAACCACACACCTTCAGGAACCCTCTCACCTTGCAGAATAGCATCAGGAATATTATCCAGGGAAACCCATACTCTTAAAAAACAAAATGCGTAGAATAGTGCACTTTTCTTGGGAGCTAACCTTTTGAATTAAAGCTGTTTGATAACTAAGGAAGTGGTAAAACCTTAGAAGAAAATTGTTATCTATAATGGTAGGGAAGTCAATGAATGAATTTTTGGTATTCTATATCATTTTTAAGAGAATGTTTACATGCTGAGCTTCATCACTGACCTCTGTCTCCCTCTGCACCGGTGCTGGCCTCGGCCATCTCTGTGCTGCCCAGGTCAGGATCACGGCCTATGTCCAGTGTGCCGCCAGCTGGGCATGATTCCTCTTTCTGAATTTTAAAAAAACGATGATTTGTGGATACGTATTAGCAACTGAAAACATTTGAAGTCTTTCAGTCTTAAAAGTATTTAATCACAGTTAACTTGTGATTTGCAATTTCAACACTGATCTACGTTTTAGTGTAAAATCACTCCTTAAAAAAAAAACAACTGGGAAAAGCACATTGCCACAGCTCATTTTTTGGATTAATTTTCTAAAATTAATGCAACAAAGTTTCCTTTTGACATATGCAGCATCCATTTTTTTCAATTCTAATTCTTCCTGACCTTAGGAAATGGCTTAACAACTCAGAATTTCCACCAGTAAATTAAACACCCAAGGATCCACAAAAAGCGACTGGAATGCAAATCTCTTTGATTTGCTGTCATTTCTGATACACACGGTGACAAAAGCTTGATGCTTAATAGGTGAGAAGGAACCCCTGCTTCACTGCCAGGTATAGGTTTTGGCATTACAAAGAAAAAAATTCTTCTTGAAAGAAATTAATGAACTTTAAATGTTATCCATCACTTATTAAAACAGTGACTTCTTTTTAATTTATGGGAATTAATACAGTGATTTTACTTGTTTCAGTTATACAATTATTTGTAGACCAGCTTTCATCCTCTGGAATATTTTTCCCATTCTACATGGGAATAGGAATTACACTAAAATAAGTAAGACTCAGTGATCCGAAGCCTTTTATTTTCTCTGTTCTCATATAGTAAGTATACACTACTAGTAAAACTTCCTTAAAACCACTGTTTGCTTTCAAATTGAGTAACTGATTTAAATCAGCACATTTTCCAGGAGAATGGATAACTTTCTTATTTCCCTAAAAGACAGAAAGGCACACAGGTGTGAAGCCTGAACATCACCTGTTGGTCATCAAGCCGAGCTGCCCAGGGCAACAGCACCCACCCTGAGCTGGGATGCAGTCCTTGGCCCTCCTGCAGGCGCACTGTCAAGTATCGGGAATTTTGAGGAAGCCACAACTATTTTCCATTACCATATGTTAGAGTAAAACCACAGATATGCTTTCCTTGAAGAAAAATGTCATTGTTTATTCTTAATGTGAAATCATTTTTAAGACGTCTGAAAACATTTAAAAGGCATAGCGGTCATTCTTCCATCTCACACCCAAATCTGATTTTGTTTACCTTCACGTGTCTGAAAAACACGCATGACACGTAGTGATCACAGGCACCACGCGCAGGACTGTCCCACTTACTTTGAGAGCGTAGAGGCCCGACTTCCCAGGGATCTTGAAGAACGTCCCATCCCCTACTCGCGTGTTAGTGTGAAGCATCGCGTTCAGACAGGCTAACGGGGAAGTTCCACTGGAAAATCAAAGTGTGCAAACATGAAGCAGCCTGAGAGTTTCTGTGGCAAAACTGTTCTCAGTCACTTAAATAAAAAAAAAAAAAAAAGACCCTCTCACAAGCCTTTGTAAAGTATCCTCCCAGCCTGAAAACATCTACATTACAATAGCAGGCCCCTCCAGTTTCACCAAAGTTAATCAGATGCATCTGTCTTACAGGCTTCAGGCAAAAGTCTTCAGAATTGAAATTATGCTTTTATTCATAAAGCAACCAACACTATATCTCAAAGAAACCAGAGCCCAGAGATTTATGTGCATTTCCATATTAGGAATAACATGGTGTTATTTTACAAATAATACCATGAAACCTCAGTTTTTAAATATTACAGACAACTTGGTGGTTGCACTTGAATGATCAAATAAACCAAGTTCAAGGACAGTGCCATCCCATAGGTTGAAAAGTAACAAAAGAGTAAGAAACGAGGAAAGAACTGATTTGAAATTACAAGTATTTATGTTACTCGTGGGATTGCATTTCTTACAAGGCCAAATAAAAATCTGTATCTGTTTATATTTCCTGATACAGCTTCTACAATGACATCCTTTCCTCAGATTTGTCAAATAAAAAAAATATGTGTTTGGGAATTCTGCCCAGCTAATAACCACGTTCTGTCATAAAGATTCAAGTGACTGAGTTATGAAAACAGGTTTTTTTTTAGAAGACATCAATGGCATTAAATAATTTAAAAATACCAAAGTGCATATGTACACACATCACTGAAATGTATTCACACACTTAGAAAGATGTTTATGAAATGAATACTATGTATGCATTTCCTAGGGTGGACTTTAGAACTTTTTTGTGTTTTGTTTTCAAACTGTGATTCAAAACTTGAGTTATTACTTTCATTTACTTCTGTTTCCATATACATTTACTTCCTAATGTACTAAAAGATCGGTACTTGGTTGAGCCAATATTGTTTAGAAGTCCTATTCTATCCCATTAGCCATTTAGGGATTCTGGGGATGTAATCCACAGTATTCTGGGGTGAGAGGATCTTTAGGATATTAAGGTTTCAAGTCTGAAATTTCTGTGATAGAAACATACTTCTGTTACTGAATTAAGAGTTTTCTAAAAGCCAAGATTATCAAACCTTGTACTTATTATGAAAACTCGCCAGTAAAATGAAAAAGCCAGTTTTGTTGAGTTGCCACAGCACACTTAACAGCAATTCAACATCTATATGCATCATGGCCACTAAGGTTTGTAAGTATTACAAGAGTAAGAACACCATTATTTTGGGAGGCAGCTTCCTATGCCAACACATCAACATGATCCCACTGGGTTTGACAGGAAGTGAGAGCCCTAATAGAGGTTTGGTCATAGAACAATGCAGTTACAACACTAGACACATGGTAATGATGCTGTGCCATATGCAGTACCTTTCCCCATGAAGCTTCTATAAGCTCACAGACTTTATATGATTATTTTTCCTCACAAAAGAATGTTTGCTCATATTTAAAGTGGGCTAGGAATACCTTATGAAATATATTCATCTCCCTAGAAATATCGGTCCATGAATAAACTCAAGATAAGTAATGTTATACATGTTAAACTGAATAATGCAAAATATATATGTTTTATCATGATTCTCTTCTGGCAAAAAGCACAGACAATTTAAAGCTGAGAATTATGCCAGATTTATGGAGTTTTAATTTAGTGAAACAGTGAGAAACACAGACTTTCTGTAGAGACCTGGAGAGGTGTTAACAGTACAAATAAAATAGAACCCAATACAAAAAAATGCACAATGTAGGCTTTTCAAAACATAGCTTCATAAAACCGTCCAACCAGCACCAAACTTCACATTCTCCCTGTTCGGCATTCCTAAGGTCCTAATACACACAACTGCAAGAACTCAAACTTAGAATGTTAATAAATAATAGAGATTTAAAGATAACTAAGAAATACTGAACAAATATAATTTAACATATTTTATATTTTAAATATATTTACCAAAATTTATATTTTCTCTTCTAAGGTACAGTAAACAAAAGATAATTGTGGAAGATAAATTGACTTAAACAGTAGTTCAATGCTGTTTGCTGCAAACATAAGTGATAAGCACCCAGTTTCACATAAATAAGAATGTCTATAGAGCATGAATCAGTCATTAAATTACACTATTAACTCAGTAAAGTCAAGATTTACTATAGAAACATTTTAAATTATGTAATTCATAGTTACGTGAACTGATTATCTACAAAATTCTAAATGACTACTCTAATTTTCCCAAATCTTTCCCAAGACAAACATTGAGATTTATTTCAAAACTATATATTTGCATTTTAGAAGAATTAGGAAATATTTTGCAATCAGATGCAAATTTTACAACTCAAATCACTGATTAGTCACTGAGTTTTAAGCATATCACTTGCAGTTCTTCACATAAAAACACTAATTACATGATCCATTTTATTTCAAGACAATAAAACATTAGCATGGAGAGAGTTAAATGCTTACTAAAAGGTAACTGTGTCATCCAATGCAGAATATACATAGGAAACAATTTTTTTAATCTTTCATACCATTTACTGATTCCTATTATTCTCAGTAATTCCATGAAGTCTAGAATATTTGAACTGCTTTTCTTGAAGAAATGAATGTCTTAATTAGCTGCTACTGAACAAGAATAAATAAAATTCTTATTTATGTATTTTTATTATTTTTACATTGAGAAGAAATAGAACTAGTAAGCATGCCCTGGGCCTGCTTTAAGGAAGATATATATNTATATATATATATATATACACTATGAAACAACGATCAGTGTGGTATGAAGGAAACTGAGGCAAATATGTTAGAAGTCTGTATTTTTATCATGAACACCTTTCTGTGTAATAGTTCACACTTTCAATTTATTTAAAAACATTTCTGCTCTCATTTAAGACAAGATTTAATCACCTCAGAATTTAAAAGTTAATAATTTTACAATAGAATATATATCTAAAAGCATATATGAGATAACAAAACATAAACATTTTAACCAAAAAATATCTTTGAAATTTCAAGTTACTTACTTTCTAAAAAGATGAATCAGAAGAATCATGATATCCCAATTTATAAAAGGAAAACAAAGAAAAAAGGAAGAGAAGAAAAGTTAGTTTCCCAACTTCAAATGTAATTCTGCATTGTACCATTTCAATAAAAAGGACAACATGAGAAACACATCAATTCTTAGATCTGGCTGCTGGTGGGGAGGAGAGACCATGGGCTTGGGGTGCAGAGCAGTGTCTCTGTCCCACGGCACCTTCTGCAGTGCGTCCCTTCCATCCGCAATGCACGTCCATTTCCATATTAGGAATACAATTAGAAATAAATATGCTGTACAACATTTGTCCCCGATTCTTCCTCTCTGCCATTCCCTGTAATCGGGCCCTTTCCTCTACACCTGCCAAGGTGGATGCACAGCTTACCCTGCATGTCTGTTTCTCCCCAGACCGTAGGCATTGGGACCCTTCTGGTTTGTTTTCATTTCCCACAACCCCTGAAGCAGAACAGGGGTGGAATCTGAAGGCAGGGGGGCAGGCATAATTTAAACTGTCTAGACATCAAAGAACCCCCAGAGACGCTTTGCAAGCCCTGGTGTTACGTGGACTACAGGGAAGCCACAGCTTTATCACTTGGAATTGCTGATGGGACACATAAAATTGTACTGATGGTGCACACATACTGAAGGGAATGGATGGCCTCTCTACTTTGAAAAGCCAGAAACAATACCTGGGGAGTGCAATTGGAAGAATATTTGTAGACATGAAAAAATATTTCAATTGCATGTTCCTTTATATATAACATAACAATGCTGTATAAGATAATATTTAAGTAATCCAAATCTTAAACTATTTTATTAAGTATCTCTAAATATTTTCAGATGAGGGCCATCTACTGAAACACTTTTAAATCTCATTTTTCAAAAAGGAGAACATGAGAAAATTAATCCTGAACGACATAAGTCTAAAATTTAACAAATTCAAGAAGCAATTATTAAGCAGCATTGACAGTTACTAAGTTCTATTTATATAAATTACTAGAAACAATTATATGTTCACTCCCATTTTTAAAAAAAATTGGTAATAGCTCTTTTCAAGCATCTGCAGTGTTGACAGCTTGGAGAAAATATCTTAATTATAAAGGACATATTTTTAAGATGAAATTATGTGGGTCTCTGGGGTGCAAGTAATGTTTTAGTTCTTGACACAGGATCTTTATATTCACGGTGTGAAAATTAAGTTGTTTACTTAGGATTTGTGCACTTAATTCTATGCATGTTACACTTAACAAAACAGGTTTCAAAATGTTGAAAAATGATAAATGCAACTTTGGGTTTGTCCACTTATTAACCTAGTAAATGGGCATGTCACTACTAGTGGAGAAGAATAAACCATTTTTACCAGTGAATGTGGACAACCCCCCCACACACAGATAGGCACATGTGTATCAGTTGATAAATCAGTCACCTAGATGATTGAAAAGTACCTTAGGAAGTCAAGGCTAAATGAGCATACTCTTGGAAGATATTACTGCTAGTCTGGAAATCTCTAAAATGACTGAAAATGAAAACTTAAAAGCTAGTCTTTTCTATACATTATCTGAATAATCCCAGCACATAAAATGCTAGCCAAAAAATGACCTACAGCAACCCTGAAATTTGATTTTGAAGACAAGAACACTGTCCCAACTTCATAGTCCAAGAAGCTCACTAGTGAAAGTTTTTAATGAGCATTGACATATAAATAGCAAAGATTGGAGTTAAAATATATAAATAAACAAGAACAACCAATTAATAGATGGGTCATATTTAGAAAGATGATATTTTGCATATTCCTGTGTGAAGAATATCTACACGATTTTCAATACTCAACATGTCTCTAAGGTAAAATTAGAAATGCAGTCCCAGTACTCTTCCATTAAGGCAGGAATACTGAGGCAAGAAATAATTACCAAGCGACATACGTGTG